GGGGGGGGGGGCCCTTGGAACTTCTTGCCGGACTTCTTGCCTTCTGAACGGCCCTGTCCATGAAAGCATCTAGTTTCTTCTTAGAGATAGTCACAGCGCGGGGCAGCCACTACTTCGTTATCTAACGCATTCCACGCGTTCACCACTCTGCAAGTAAAAAATTCCTGTCTCGACCTGAGCCGCACCTGCGGTTATTATAATATTCCAACTGGGGTCTTGTCATGCAGCATACAATGGGAAAAAAGCGCGAGTTTCCCTTAGCCCTCCATTGGCGAATTCCTGGCTTCGACAAGAATAGACACGAATAAACAAGACTATAATATACAAAACTGAATATAATAAACTGTCCTGTGACAAGAATAGACCAACTATAGGCAGTAGAGGCATGTAATGTGCATTGACGTTCCTTCTTCCAAAAAATTCGTACTGCATAAAAAAAATATGTTCTTGCATATTTTCTCATATTCGTGCATATTTCGCACAACTTTTTGGTCGCTTTAAGCACATATGTATGCGCATGTTTCAGGACTCATTAGCGCAAAAGAAAATCCGCTTCCTAAAGATGACGAAGGAAATCGTGCAGCGGAAGCAATGTGCATGACTCGATTGGAAGTGAAGCCTTGGAGCAGTCGCACGAGCAGGTGTTGACTCTCACCGTGGTGATATAAACTGTTCTTCCCTGAATACGACTCTCCTCGTATTGACATTTAAAGGAAAATAAATGAAAATATTCAAACAAAATGTCGTCACTAGAGAAAACGGAAGGAAAAAGGACTCGACATCCGCATTTAGGCCTGCTGCCGCCACTTCTGGCTGGAGCGTGCGCCCCGCACGCGAGGCTCGAATCACGTGACCAAACGCTCGAGTCACGTGACCAAACACTCGAGTCACGTGACCATCGACCGACCCGCGCATTCAGTCGGGCGCGAGACTCGCGACGCTCTCGCACGCATGGACCATTTCTCAAGCGGTTCGTTTGCTGCGAAAAAATTAGCGGGGAAAATAGGATTCAACGCACCCAAATAGAAGTTTGCATTGCACTCGCCCCTCTTCATGGCATCAGCTGCTGAAACAGAAAGTGATTGGCAGGGCGGGAATCCGAGCATGATCTCATCGAGAAAGCTTGAGCCATTCTAAATATTATTTCCGTGCAATTCGTGAACCCATTTCGTGTCTCGAGGTATATACCGTGAACGTATTTTCGCGTATAAAACGGATGGTATAAAAATATATATACATGTATATATTCATGTAGGCTGATAATATTGCTTCACGGATAATTTTACAGTTTATTTTTTTAATGACAAAAGAGCGGAAAACCGTTTTCAAAACATTTATTTTCGTGAGACCTCTGTTCCTCGTGATGGAAGCGAATCGTGAGAGTGTCAGAATTCCGGGTCTCAAGGACATGAAGGGCAACGAGAGAGTTTTTTTCGTGCGAAATCGAATTCGCATTTAAGAATGGGGGCGAGGGAGGAAGAATTAACAGCCCATTTGGCCCTATATAAAATTCGGAACCGTCACATTCGCTTCCGCCGTGATGGGCGTCGAAAAAAAAAAGTGAAAACTTGGAAATCCAATTCAGTATAATTACATGCGACGCATACCTTTGAGCTTGCGCCTGATTCGAGGGATGAGAACGAGACGAACTAAGGCTCCGACGAGGAGGGATATGAGGACAGTGCACAAGGCAATCCCCCACCAAGGAATCAAGTCCAGGTACAGAACTGTAGAGAGGAAAGGGGGGGGGGGGGATCTCGGTCAATCGGTCGGTCTACGGGAGCCGACGGCACGGAAGACGAAGAGCGTACATGGGGGGGCGTCGGTGAAGATGGAGACGACGTTGGCGGCAGTCGTGAGGGCATAGATGAACGGAAGAAAGAGGAAACCCCTCTCGATCGGATGACTACTATGGAAGACGGAAGTCCTCACTCCCAGGAACAAGACGGCCGACATGACCCCCGCCACGATCGGGCTCAACAGCCAGGCCAAAACTGCGTAAGGCATGCATTCCCCTCGTCCACGATTCCACGCAACCACGTGACATAAAAAATTGCCATTCTCGTCCACGTGACATAAAAAATTGCCATTCCCGTCCACGTGACATAAAAAATTGGCATTCTCGTCCTCGTGACATAAAAAATTGCCATTCTCGTCCACGTGACATAAAAAATTGCCATTCTCGTTGAAGGTGGAATGGAGTCAACGGGCCTTCCTGGAATTCGTCCTTTATTTTATTGTGAACTTTTGAGTGCGCCAAAGAATCCATAGAGTTGCCTGTTTCGTTCGGATATCTAGTTCTTTTATTAGCTAATTTCTCAAATATGCAAATAAATTTGCGCTTAAAAAGGCCAAAATATGCATTTAAAATGCCGAAAAAGCGCATTGCTTATTGCCATTTTTGTGCCAAAAATCACTTCTTTTTTTTAGAGCCTGCGGCTGGAAATTTGCAATTGTTGCTTCTAAAATAATAGCACGTTTCCCAGGAAAAACTCCCTCCCCCTCCCCCCCCCGCTGAAAATCGGTGAAACATGTGTAAATGAGTATTTCGAGGAAATAAATATGTATGCATTTTTACGCGTTTCTAAAATTCCATCAATCTCTCCCTCGACCAATAAGACATGCTTCTGTCTGGGGTTGCGTGGTCCTCCATAAAAAAATTAGCATAAGAATCTGCTTCCTAATAATGACTCCTAGGACGAGAAGAAAGAACGCCCGTTTCATGGGAATGAAAAAGTGACCCCTTCTTCTAAACATATGGTTAGTATAAAGTTTCCTCCCATATTCAGACACTTATGCAAGCTATGCATCGCAAAGCTGTAATATGAGGGGAGGTATTTATCAAATGTAGCAAATGTAGCAAATGCAGCGATTGAGCAAATGCTGGTGACCGTATCCGACGACCCTCTATTCCTCTTCCCCATGGTCCCACGATTGCTCACGCCAATCATTACAGCGACACCACGCCTAATTTGCACATCGCAACTGCCAGAACAACCGGGAAAAAATTCATTCTAACCTTGCATGACCTTGCAAACTTCGAATGACCTTGCAAAGGTCATTCGAACTCTCCATTGAGCTTTCTGAACTTCGCACAAGAAATCCGCAACATCTCGTCTTTCTCATTCTCGATAAAACCTCGAGAAAGAACAGAAAAAAAGGAACGGCGACGAACCGATCTTGACGACGACCATCCACTTGACCGCCGGAAGTCCCTTGGCGACGAGATTGAACCCGATGATGGACCCAACGACCCCGTGGGTCGTCGAGATCGGGAGACGGAAGAACGTCGCTATCAACTGCCAGGCGCCCGACGCCCCTGTTCCACGGAGAATCATCAATTTCCAGACTTTTTGGAATCGCGACAACATCGGAATTCAGAACGAGGTATTTTCAAAGTAATCCGTCTTTGCTGCGAGGCGGATCATCTCGAGCGGAGGCGGATCATCTCGAGCGGATGCGGATATGGCGATTTTTTTTTTTTACATTGGGAAAATGTACGCGAACCACCATGATGCCTCTCGCGACCGACAGTTTGGGAAACACCGACAAAAGGATGAAAAGTGGAAGAGGTCCCAAATGGAAAAGGCTTGCCTAAAGTCGCCAGGGAGCCGAGCATGATCTGTTTTTCGGTTCCGTTGTAGACGGCCTCGTTCATGATCTCCGACCCAATCGCCGCGGTAACCTCGGCGCCTGAAAAAAAAATCGATTTCATGATAACGAGACGCATGAAAACTTTTTTTCGAGGTCGCTTAGAATCACCGAGTAAGATGGACCCCGCTGTCTCGCAGATGACCCCGAGAATGCAGGCCTGTTTGACGGTGAGGACCTTGGACCCGACGGAAGTCCCGAAGGAATTGGCCACGTCGTTCGCGCCGATCGTGAAGGCAGCCGTAAATGCCATCACGAAGCCCACGATCACAATCCATAACGCGTCGATTTCATACGCTTCCATCTTTTCGCCGATCGATTATCTATTTGGGGGCCTTTCACCCGAAACCTGTGCACGAAAAGTGTGGCGAGTTCTGTAGCGATGGCCTACAGCGGCGTATCGTCGGGGAAAGCGGGATGGGCACGTGCCCACAACTGTTGAAAAAAAGAAGTAAAAGTAAAGAGGAAAAGACACATTAAATGTTCCTCATCTCCCCCCCCTCCCCCTCTCCCCCCCCCCATGATCGGAGCGATCGCTCTCCGAATCGCTTTCCATTTCAGCCGATGAATGTTCCCAATCCCACTTGGGTAAAAGCGGCTGGGCCGACTCGGCGATAGAAGAGAGTCAACCCCCGTGATGTCGGCCTGCTACCAGAGTCATAAGCGGAGAGAAGAAAACAATATGCTGGCGTGTGTGACACATAAGAAAATACGGTAAGTTGGTTTAAACAGAACTCAAGGGATCGCCTTCAAGGGAAAATTCACTTTCCTCTTTAACCCTTGGATATTTGTGGTCAAAGATGTTTCACTGCAGGAAAATTTGATTCTACATCATTTACATTTTTAATTCGAGTCTGAAAGAGATGCCGAAAATGTTTTCTCTAGTACCAGTGACATGCACCAGATTCGTTTCATTTTAAACCGATATGATTTCATGAAGAGGCGTGCATGAGAATATGAGTTATGAGATATTAAATCAGTGTTCTCAGTTTAACCGGTCTGGTTCGTCTAATAAGACCTAATATACGCCTTCTGTTTCCTTTTCCCGACGCAAAATCCATCTTCCGGTCTCGTTCCTCCCATACTCCAAGCAAGCATTGCATTTACGTGCGGCATACGTCCGCGAATTCTTCGTGAATGCTTCTCTCCTTCACGCTGCAAACGAGCTATCCACGGAGTCTACGGATCCTATTTGCCTGGCCGATGAAAGAGGCGGGGATCCCAAAGAGGGAACAACTTCAATCCCCGAGGATCCGGGAGCGAGTCCTTAAGTCCAATTCACTCTCAGTGAGACTCAAGAAATCCATCGATGAATACTGGGGACTGTTCCTCGCCTCTGCTTAACTTAATCTAAATCTAAACATAATATAACCTAAATGCGGTCATTCAGCGCGATGAAAGACCCCATTCAGATTAGATTAAGTTTTGAACAAGTTTGGATTTATATTAACATTATTAGAGGCGAGGAACAGGCCCCTGCTCTTTCATCTCGTCCCTGAATGAAGTGTGTGAAGTCAGTAAGTGCGTCTACGAGTGTAGTCTTTCATTATAAGAAAAAATTATAATACACGACGACAAAGGGGAGATGAAAAGAGTCGATGGGCTGGGATGATGCAAGCGAGTTGAATCCAGGAAAGAACGCTGATGAGGAGGTGCATGATCAAGGCGCTCAAGCCTGAGCACTGCCTGCAGCGTGATCAACCACAACAGGATGTTCCTGCACGAGAAATGAAATTCGCGCCCGTCGCAATCACGGTGGACTGAGGGGGATGCGGAAGAAAGGAGGGACAGACCGGAAGAGACAACCACTTGACTCCTTGCTTAGGATTCTTGACTTTGCCGACGCAGACGACCGCACCAATGAGGATTGGGTGATTGGACGGCAGTACCAATCAGCGTTGCGCTGATGGGGAAGCCGAGGTTGGACGCCAGCAGTACCGTTAATCCAGCCCCAATCTCCATCGTGAACCCGCTGAAGCTAAAAGAAGCTTTGCGTTAGTCGAGTACACTATATAAGCATGATTGTAGATGAGACGTCCAAAAAGTCCATGAGCGCATTGGAGGTGGTGACCCAGCGTCAGTGTGAACGGCGTTTGGAATCACCGAGTTGGATTGATCCCAATGTTTCGCAGGTGTTACCAAGGATGCAGGCCTGTTTGACGGTGAGGACCTTGGATCCGACAGAAGTCCCGAAAGAATTGGCCACGTCGTTCGCGCCGATCGTGAAGGCAGCCGTAAATGCCATCACGAAGCCCACGATCACAATCCATAATGCGTCGCTTTCGCAAGCTTCCAGCTTTTCGCCGATCTCTCATCTATTTGGGGGCCTTTCACTCGAAACCTGTGCACGTAAAGTGTGGCGAGATATGTAGCGATGGCCTACAGCGGCGTATCGTCGGGGGAAGAGGGGTGGGCACCACTTTTGAAAAAAAAAGTGAAAGTAAAGAGGAAAAGACACATTAAATGTATGATAATAGTGTTCCTCAGTTACCTTGGCGCACCCCCCCTCCCCCTCTTCCACATTTTTTTTTGTCTAGACTACGCTTATGATATTACACGCTTATTACATTGATTCACTTTAGGCTCACTGCTTTTCAGATATACGATTGTATTCCGTAGAGGATCTTGATGAGGATATTGCACGTCCCCGACCTAAATATCAATAACAAGGACAGGCAGGCAAACGAAAGAGGACGAGAATGTTGTTGCCAGCTTTCTTCTTTGAACGCTTTGATGGATTTATCGCGACGGTTCGTTTCACGTACTTGTTCACGACGGTCCACTGCGGCTTGAAGCTGGGCAAAAGTTGAAAAATGAAGTGAGAGTTAAAATAAGTAAGTTTCCTGCTTTTTTTATAATTAACCGTTTGCAGTCCATTTTATTTGTAACGCTGTGGAGATTGGCGAACCTGGTTCGCCGGTGGACCGAAAAGGGTTAAGGACGTGCAAATATCACTAAAACATTTAAATTTCTGATTTCCCTCCGTTTCAAGTGAAGTTATTTACTTATAGTTTGGGAAACTTCATGACAGACACTGTTGTACTTCGCATGAGTATATTTTGGCGAAATTTTGTCAATATCGTCACTTCGAAGCATACCTTCATCCCTTCTTGATGCCTTCATTACGCCTGGGACCGTCATATAATATGATGTGATTTGACATCAATATTAAAGGGAAAAATCGGACCAACGTCAAATTTTCCTTTTTGCTTCTCATCATACCCTTGGAGGAGCATTTGTTACACATCGACTCATATTTGGAGTGGCCATACCATCTGCTAATTTGCTTTTACGAAATTTCCTCCTGCCAGAACACTTCGCAGGCGGCAATATTTGGCAATTCGTTATACTTGCCAAATTGGCTGCGTCGGGCAGCTATCATTGCACGGATGGATATATGTGACTTGTCTAAGGACGACAAATCCTTGACAGCTATTAGCAAAAAAATTCAGGTGAAAAAGGTTTTCCATATGCGGAAAAATTATTTTCCTGACTTTAACTTTTACCACTGCATAATTTACAAGTAAAGCTATTTCGCGGAACGCAAAAATAAAAACTAATAGAAAAATAAGTCACTTACCTGAATCCTTGTTTGGAGTCGATTTCAATCTCACATGATGAAGTGGAAATTTTATATTTAAAAAAAAGATTGCCAGGAAACTGACTCCTGCAAAGATACACATCACCTCTGCTAAACTTATATCTAAATCTAAATCTTAGTCTAAAGGGTCAGGGCGATGAATAAACTTTGCTTTTAGACCACTTTTAGACTGCTTTTAGATTTAGATTTAGATTTAAGTTAAGCAGAGACGAGGAACAGACCCCAGTGTTCGTCATCACGGTTCCACTTTCCGGTTACTGCTTCACTTGGAAAGGGAGGAACTCGGAAATTGAGATGTTTAAGTGATATTTGGACATCCCGAATTGTATAAAACAGGAAACTTCCTTATTTACTGTAACATTATTTTTAATTTTTACTTTGGGCCAGCTTTTGACGATTTCTGCACCACTGTGCGGTATAGTATCACACGATGGGAATCAGACGCGCCGGTAACAATGGAAAGAGAGTTAAAGAGAAAAGGGTCCAATGTAAAAGTTTCTTGGAAATGGGTAAACACAAGTAATTTGGATAGGGTTTGGATCCTATTGCTATCTAACTGCGTCTCCGCTGAGTCTCTGTTGTGGAAATACGGAGGAGGAAGAGAAGGGAAGAGCAGGCGCAGCACGGGCCACAGGACAACCAGAAGTCCCAGGCAGGGTGTCAACTAGCCGACTGCGCGGAGATGCAATGGAGGTGATTATAATCATCCCCATTGTAGATGAAAATCTTCCCCCACCCCGTAAAGAGGAGTAGCGATCAGATATCGCGTGTACCTTCATATCGTGTCGTTTTAATCCGAAATCTACGTCCGTGGTCGGCGATCGTGGAGATCAAATGCAAATTACGATTTCCTCGTAAGTTGAGATTGACCCCAGCAACAAAAAGTCACACAGGAAGGCATTGTCATGCGAGGTCCGGTCTATCTCTAGGCGTTGGGGCGTCAATGCAAACTCCTTCTGGAACCTTTACGCCTTCTCCCCTAGCGTCTCAACACGTATGGTACCTCTTGGAAGAGAGAATTGCTCAAACGAATATCAACGTATGCGGTGTACGTAGTTGGTCCTAGCCGGTCGACATGTCCACGTGAAAGTTTTCGGATGCAGAACATGTCTTCTCCGAGAGATGACTTGCCAAAGCAATGAAAGAATGCAAGAACAAAACTGAGTATTTTTCGAAGTGCATCAAGTTGAAGACCTTCGGCGTCTTTCTCAAGTCATGACAGCTGCATACTTCATCATTCATCGATATTTTTCCTTGTTGTAATGCAAGCAGACATCTGAAGCCCTTTTTTGTACTTGCTGGCATTTGTGTCTTCTGTGAGCAGCAATCTGCAATCTGCTGCCTGCAATCAACTGTCTGCAAACTGCTGCCTGTAATCTGCTGTCTGCAATAGGGAGTTAAAAGGGGGTGGAAATATTCCCGTCCTCAAATGGCGAATATCGGCTGTAATGCAAGAGGCATCCATGGAACAGAAGTTCCTGTGCCAAATTTTCTTTGCCACTGCCGGCGAAGTAAAATTTAAAAATTAAAAAGTTATGAAAAAATCGGGGAACACCTAGAACAAGCGATGCTACAGCCACCAAACGTCTTTTTTTTTATTATTATACAGACATCGGCGTATGCAATCGATCAATCACACTCCGAAACCTGCCATTCCTGTGCGTGATATAATCATGTGACTGCATCACAGTTGGTACTCTGTG